CAGGCCTGAAACACCAGAGGTCTTTCTGACTTCTCTGTCGGCCCCCCACCCAATCAGTCACCAAGTCCTCTCCGGTCTTTTGGCAAATGATTTTTGTGTTCATTGGCATTGACCCTCCTCAAGTATCCACTGTTATTGATTCTTCCGGTTCGCAGCAAGGTCCTTATTAACTAACCTCTCAGCGGCCACTATCTTCTTTCTAATCCATCCTAGATACTGGCACTGAACTGAAATGGAAAGTTACTGTACCTTCCCATTTTTGTGTCCTGAGCATATAATATAGAGCCAATGCCTATAGAAAGTGCTGGCAGTAGAATCAAGATGGCCCCCGATTCTTTGCTCCTGCTCCCACTGAGCGGTGATGTCTAATTCCCTTTCTCTTCAATCTGGGCTGGTTTTAGAGACTTGCTAACCAACAGACTGTATGGAAACAAGGTTATGGGACTTTTAAGACAATGTCATTAGAAGCCTTGAAGCTTCTATCCAGGCCTCTTGGAATACTTTCTCTTAGAGTCATGAGCTACCATGTAGGAAGACTGACTATTCTAAAACCATCAGGCTATGGGAAAACCTAAGCTGCATGGAAAAGCCACTTGCAAGTGCTCTAGTCAGTAGGTCAGCTGAGCTCCCCAAATGGCCAGAAGCCATTTTGGGAAGTGGAAATCTCCAGTGCTCAGCTGACCTCGTGAGAATCAGAGATGAACTGCCCAGCTGAGCCCTTTCCAAATTCCGACACAGAATCACGAGCAAAACAAAATGGTTGTTCTAAGATTGTTAGTTTTGGTATAGCAAATAACAAATGCACTGATAGATAACTAAAACATGATCAAAATCATTGAATGAATGAAGGATTCATTGGCAGAAGGGTGTTGATGGTGTCACTGCCCTCTTCAGGAGCTCTTAGTGGCACCCTATTGCTGGAAAAATAATGTTTGGTGCCTTTAGTTGGTGTTCAAGGTCCTCCATAATTTGGCATCAACTTGCTTCTCAGACCTTCCCAGATACTTTTCCAACGCCATGTCTTTACTTATCTATACTGCTTTCCATCCAAATGTCCCTTCTACCCACATTCCCACTTCAGGATGTCAACATTTAATTTGTCCTTTGAGACTTTAGTCAGATACCTTCTCTGGCTGCCTAGTCTAGCAGTGAGCCGTCGCCTTTCTGTCCCTAGTTTGTTTGATGTTTTTCTAACTCTTCTTCCTTCAATTACCCTGTTCTTCATTTTTTACCTCCTCTGTGTGTGTGTGTGTGTGTGTGTGTGTGTGTGTGTGTAGGTGGAGGGGAGGCAGTGGGGCCCAGGCACATAAGGAGGCATACAAGCATGTTGTGTGTGGCCTACCAGGCATGAATCCCTACAGAGCTTGAGTTGGGACTTGCCAGCACATAATCTGGCACATTTTGTCTCCCATGCCAGGTGTTCAAGTGCTTGAAGGGAGGAAGGGTATTTAGAAGAAGCACAGGCTTTGGTGTCAGCTCAGATTTTAGATCATAATTGTGTCACTTACTGTGCGGCTTTGGGCAAGATGCATAAACTTTCTGAGCTCAGTTTCCTTATTTGGAAACTAGAGACTTAATTGAGAATGTGTATAAAGGCCCAGTCCCATGCTTGGCTCCTCACAGGCCATTTTAACAACTGCTTGCTGAGTAGACACAGCAGAACAGTCGATGGGTCTGCTTCCTGATGCTCAATTGTCATTATGTCAATTTTGGAGAGAACTCTCCCTCATCAAAAATAAATAAATTTCTTAAAGTCTAAAAAAAAAAATTAAAAAGGAGCAAAGAACAAAGAACAAGAGAAGAGTGAAAAGGCACAGCAGAGACCACCTGGCCAGCCCCAACTACATTAATCCGTGTGATCAGCCTGCCCTGCTAGGGTCTCAGTCTTCTCATCTGTAAATTGAGCGGTGGGCACTGGAATCTAAGCTCCCCTCCAGCGCTGACATTCCAAGAGCATTAAAGAAAAAGGATGAATCACCCCTTCAAAATACCAATAGGGGCTGGGCCCTCCCCCTGCTGTCCCCATCCAACACAGCTAAGAGCTCTTAATACACAGCCAGCTTCCTCCTGCAGCTGCCACCAAACTTCAACCCCCTTTCCCAGGGGTCTCAGAAGCAAGACTGATAATGGACCCCTGGCCTTCTCCATCTCAACAGGGAACCAGATCCTGTTCCCAGACTCTGGGGGCCAGAGGGCCCTCCCCTGAGGGTGCTGGCTTTCCGTGGACATTTGGCTCTGGTATACTTGTGCATGAAGTGTGGGGAGTGTTGGAAGAGCGGAAGGAAGGAATAAAGGGAAGAGTTGAAAATAGAAGGTTGATGATTGATTTCCTGCAATCGTGGCAGGAGGGCTGGAGCGGTGGAAACCTTGCCATTCTCTTCCAGGATTTCGAAAAAGTGGATGCGTCTGTTATCTGTAATAATGGTTCTAAACCAACCTCCATCCTGGGGAGGCACGGTTCCCCAGCAGCAGCTGCATAAATTCATGAGCACAGGCTGTCAAAGCCACAGAAGATACCAAGATCAATTTTCCTCCTTCCAGGAGATAGACACTAGGTGACCGCAGAGGACAGTTTTCTTGCCTCTCTGCCCAGAGCTCTCTACTCCTTTCCGCGTCGATGCTATTATTAGGATTATCAGCATTAATAATAATGGAGACGTAACCGGCTGTGCATTAGTCACAAGGTTCCAGGAGCCAGCACCTCCTTCCTTCTCTCCTGGGCCTGCCTGGGTGCCGCCGGGTCCTCTTCTCCGCGTCCGCAGGGGCTTGGGGCCTGCCCTTTGGTCTGTCTGCGCGGTGGTCTGTCTACCGGCCGGCACGTCTGCAGCAGCCCGGGTCCTCCTAGCTCACACCGGCTCCGGCTCTGAAAGCCGAGAAGCTCGCCGGCTGCGAGCGGGTTTTCCAAGTGGGCAGGGGTGGGGAGGAGGGGCGCGGGCGGGCGGGCGGGCGGGCGGAGGGAGGAGGGGGCGTCGCGGAGGGGAAGACCTCGCATTGTAATCCAATGACATTGCCAACGTGGGGGTGGGGGCGCTGGCCTCGGCGCGCTCTCCGAGTTTTGGCTGCCCGCCCAGCTGGGAATAACTCTCTCCGCATAATTCGCGTGTTTACCAGGCATGAAAATTCTTGCTTTCGGCTCCCCCCCCCACCCCCCCGCACGCCCCCTCCCCTTCCCCCTCCCCACCACCTCCGCCCTCCGCGAGTGAAACTCTGTCTAAAAAAATATTGGCCCGGGGCACAGAAAGTTTTGCATAAATTCATAAGTGATGAATGGCTGATTTTAACGTTATTTGGGTATTTGTCAGAACTTAACAAATATACATGGGGGCGGCGGTTCATAAACTTAAACATCTCAATATCCCCTTTCTTCTGGAAATAAATTACGTTTGTTTGCCGGGCTTGGAGTCTTAAGGTAGCCGACATTAGGAATATTTTAAAAGCCATCATCCATCGAGCATGTCTCCCAGGCGCCAGGAAGATTAAATGAAAGAATCATAAGATGGAGGTCTTTAACTTTTAATCCTTTTACAATGAAGCCTCAGATAGTCGCGGGGGCAGGGTGCCCTCTCTGGGGGGAATAATGCCGTTATTCCTCGGCTCTCAGTTAATGAATACCCTAACGTCTGTCCCACGGCTGACGGAGGCAGCGCCGGGGAGGGGGCTCCGGCTCCCGGGCCAGGCTATTGAAATGAGGAGCCACCGAGGCTGCGTCGGGAGGGAAGAAAGCGCCCGGCTGGAGGGACAGGGCGGGCGGGGCCGGGGGCACTGAGACTGCGCTGGGGACCCGGCGCAGGTTTGAAATGATTAGCATAGATTCGCCGGGACTCCGGCCCCGGCGTGGGGGTGGGGGTGGGGGGGGAGGGATGCCGCGAGGGAGGCGCGGGGAGGTGGCAGGGGGGTGGGGAGGGAGCGCAGGAGAGCGACTCCGGAGTCCAAGATAAATAAAGGGAGCGCGGAGCAGTGTCAGGAAGCCGGCCCACGTGGAGCCGCGCGGAGGGACGCACGCGAGTCGAGCGCCGGCCCCAAGAAGTTGGCTTTTCCAGGGGTGGGGTGACGGTGATGTTTTGCACGTCCCTTCAAGCGGCAGCCCACCTCCTGCCCCTCTCTAGCCCCAAAGCTCAGGGGTCCCGATTCTGAGTTCTCCTCCCTCCTCCCCACCCCCAAGTGGAGTCAGTGTCCAGAGCGGGGGGCGCACCCCATTCCCAAATGCAGATGTCCCCCCCCTCCCCGAAATCTTGACCCTCAGTGTCCTCCTTAGGTCCCGGGGCCGGGTGGGGGTGGGGGTGGGGGAGGCGAATGTCAAATCACCCAGCTATGCCAGCAATTCCGGCCGAGGGCCTGGGGTTTTGGGGGCTCCGACCTGCAAGATTCCGGAGCCTGAGTGTGTGGATTCCAAAGGACTGGATCCCATAGCTTGCATCACCGCAGCTTCCGGGCGTGCAAAGGGTTAACACCGGCTGGTTATTGATGGTGGGGGGGGGGGAGCGGTGTGAGGCGGGAGGGGTGACGGGACCTGGGTGGGCGCGCTCTGATCTCTCCCACCACCAACCCCCCCCCCATTCCTCGGGGGTCAAGTTTCAGCGGCACTCCGCCCCCAGGGTAGGTGTGAAAGACACGTGTCCCCATTGTGAAGGGCCTGTCAGGCAGGACAAAGCGGCCGCCCACCCTCCCCCCCGCCCCTCAGCCCAGCCTGGGGTCAGCTCCAGGGGGCCGGCTGGGTGTCGAGGTCAGGACGGGCCCGAGCTGTGGTGACATAGGGAGAAAAAGCTGGGACACTGGGCAGAGGCCACGTGATGCTCAAGTGAGGGGTTTGAGAATAACCCTCTCCCCCCACCCCCAGAAGGAAAAACTGAGCGGTCATCTCCATCACACCCCAAGAGGGGATGAGCCCCTTCTCCCAACAGGCGTAGTAAGCACAGCGGCACCCCTACCCACCCCCTCCAGCCCCCACACCCCCCATCAATCACCAACACAGAGAATCGCAGTGTGGAGCGCAGTCGATTTTAGTGGTTTTCTTTAATCCTGCTCTGCACTTCTTTCTCATTTACTACACGGGATATTATAAAGAATAAATAGCAGATACTCTTAATTTACAATGATTAGTCATTCCATTTGTTCTCTATATTTACAATAACTGTAAAATAACATTGAACTCTATAGCTTCTTCGAGGTCCAAGGAAAACCAAAACACTTTCCGAAGAATGGAAAATAGCTTTTTAAAAGTCCTTCTACAAAAGTTCTCCCCTCTCTTTGTACTTTAAGAAAAAAATAACTTTTCCCCCCTGCTTCGCCATGCGAAGGGCACTGGAATATAAATAGCAGGTTAACATTATTAGCGACAACCAGAATAAGTCTCTCTTTGCTCTGTTCTTTTTTTTTCCTTTTGCTTATTATTATTTTTTAAAAATACAGTAGAAGCCGGTAACTTTTAACGTATAATACTGACCTTTTAATAAGTAAATTAAAACTGGGACCGTATATACACACACATATACATTCCTACACAGTTAAACAGTGCATTACATGAACCAGAAAGCTAGGTCTCTGTAGCCAGAAAAAAAAAAAAAAAAAGTTCATTGGATCCCCCCCCTCCCCGCCTCGCGAGAGGGTGGTGGAACTGGTTGGAGACGGTGCGGAGGCGGGGGGTGGGGGGGGGCGTCGGTGGGGCTCCATCCATTGTCCGGGTGCGGGGAGGGGGCCCCGAGTTCTAGCAGGAGCACTTGCACTCGGAAATGATGGGGTACTGGATGGGAATCCAGCCGCAGCGCTGGCCCCCGCGCCGCTGACAGCGCCACCGCAGCACCGTGAGGTGCACGGACTTGGACGGCTTGCACACCATGCCCTCGGGCACCGAGCACGAGCGCTTGCTGAAGCAGCTGCCCACCTTCACGTAGCGCGGCCAGAAGCGGCTGCCCAGGTCGTTCCACGCGTACAACACCGGGCAGAAGGTCTGCGACCACAGCCACATCTGTAACTTCCTCCGCAGCTTCTTGCTCAGGCGCTGCTTCTTGCCCGGGGCCAAGCCCTCGGAGAACTCCAGCCCTTTGATCTCGCTCGGCATGGCCCCCGACGGCCGCTGCCGCAGCAGCTGGTCCAGCTCCGCCAGGTCCTCGGCGCCCCCGGCCGCGCCCGCGCCCGCGCCCCCGCCCGCGCCCGCGCCCGCGCCCGCGCCGGGCCGCTCCTCGGGGGGCGAGGTGGCCATGAAGCCCGGGTCGTAGTGGCCCCCGAGCAGCGAGCGCAGCAGCGTCTCGTTCAGGTCCTTCTCCTTGGGGTCAAAGATAGGGTCCGGGTGCTCGATGAGGTCCACCAGGGGCAGGTTGTCGCTGGGGGCCGGGCGGATGTGCAGGTAGTGCTGGCCGCCGGCCGGGGCCGCCCGCAGCCCCAGGACCACCACCAGGGCGTAGAGGGTGGCCCCCAGGCTGGGGCAGCGCTCCATGCCTCCGGCGCGCGCCCGCGTCCCCCGAGCACAGGGAGAGCACGCCGAGCGCTGCCGGCCTCCGCAGGCGGCTCACCCGAGGCTGGGCGGGCGCAGGGCCGGCAGCATGAGGCGCCGGCAGAGCCCTTCGCGCGGCGCCGGCTCCCACCGGGGCGGGAGGCGGCGCACGGTTGGCCGCGGCTCCTCCGCCGGGGCTACTGGGGCCGGCGGCCGCGGCGGGGCGTCCGCGGGGACTCCAGGGCGCCGGCGGGCGCGGGGGGCGCCGGCTCCTCGCTGCTCCCGGGCCGGCGGCGGCGGCGGCGGCGGCGGCGGCGGCGCGGGGCGCGGGGCGCGGGGCGCGGGGCGCGGGGCCGAGCCGCCCTCCCCTCCTCCTCCGCTCGCCGCGGTCGTCCCGCCGCCCGGGGCAGCGCCGCTGGCGCAGCGGGTCCGGGGCGCGTCCCTCCGCCTGCTCGGGGCTCCGCGGCCGGCTCTGCCCGGCGGACTCCGGCGGCGGCGGCGGCGGCGGCGGCGGCGGCGGCGGCGGCGGCGTCCGCGCACGTTGGCACCGGTTTGTCTGTCTCGCAGGGTCCAAGCCTTTAAATTTCCTGCACTTTCAGCTCCATCACCATGGAAACCACTGACTCTCTCGGCGTTGCCCCCTCCCCCTCCTTCCCCCCAAACAACAACCCCACCCCCCACTTCTCCACCCCCGAGGAGCCGGAGCGGCTCAGGCTCCGGGGGAAGCCGCCTGCACTCGCCGCGGCGGCGGCGGCTCCGGCAGCGCCCAGGGCCGTGCCCCGCCGGACCCAGATGCCCCGGGAAGCCGACAGCCCGGCTGCCCGCCGGAGCTCACAGGCGGCGGCGGCGGCGGCGGCGGCGGCGGCGGCGGCGGCGGCGGCGGCGGCGGCGGCGGCGGCGGCGGTGGCGCTTGGCAGGTCTCCGCGCAATTTTCTCTCTCCCCCACCACCCACCCCCCTTCTCCTCCTCCTGCAAAATGCACCGCCCCCCTCCTTTCTCCTGGAGCAATGCAACTGGGGCTCTAGGCGCCCCGCCAGGGCCAGTCCTGGGGAAAGCTCGCGGCGGCGCTGGAGCCGGGCTGGAGGGTGCAGGGCCGGTTGTGGGGGGTGCTCGAGGTGGGGCTGTGAGGGGTCCCACTAGCTGGGTGCTTTGCACTGGGCGGGCAGCCGCGGGGAGGTGCCGGGGGCCCGCTTCTCGGTGCAGAACCCGGCGCAAGGAATTTCTCCATGTGCACGGAGCTTTTTCCCCGGGCGCGTCTCGCCTTCCTCTCTCCGGAGCTGGCTCTAAGTCCCCTCCCCCCAGCGCGCGTACACACACACACACACACACGCACACACACGCACACACACACACACGCACACACACACACACACGCACACGCACACACACACACACTTTGAGCAGGAGTCCGAGAGCCGCAGCGTTGCGCAGCGTGATGTAATTCCTAGGAAGCACTCCTGCCCGTCTGTTACTCGGGCCCACGAGGGGGGTCCGCTCCTCGCCCTCCTCCTCCTCCTCCTCCTCCTCCTCCTTGGCCGGGTCCTGCACCCTGAGTGGCCGAGCTGCAGGGGCGCGTCCGGCTCGCCTGCGGCTCCCCTAGCCGGCCGGGTTCCGCGCCGCCGCTGCTCGGCTCCCTGGGGGCGGCGCGCCCTCTGCTGGCGCCCGGCGAGTCCTGCACCTGGCGCTGGCGGGGGCGGCCCTGCGAGGTGGGTTCGCGTGCTGTCCGCGCGGCCCAGCTCCGCTTCTGCTCCCTCCCGTGTCCGTGTCATGGTGTGTGCGTGCGTGCGCGCGCGCGCTGCGGGGTCCTGTACTGCTCGGGTCTGTGCTCTCCAAGCTTTCCAGGCCCTCGCTGTAAACCAACTTCCTGAGACTCCTCCAGACGCCCCTCAAATGTCACAAGACTATATAGTGCACCCTCTGTCTGCGGCCGCTAAATCGGCCTCAGTGGGCAAGAGCGGAGACCTAAAGCCTAAGAAAGGTGACCTGGCAGTAGGGGGATCTGAGTCCTGGCTGCGGTCTGCCCTCCTATGTTAACCTCGGACAAGCCCCTTTTGTGGCACCATGTTCCTTCACTTTCTGCATTTAGTGACACCACTACATTCCTCTTCCAGCCCTACCTTTCTATGATTCTAAATAAACTTGCATGGTGCTTTCTGTTTGCAAAGGGGTGTCTCTTTGATGGGAGAGGGATGTTGAAATGACGCTTCTAGTTAATTTCCCCTTGGATGAGGACCTGAATCTAAGCTTTGAAACTCAAACTTGGTTTCCTTTGTGGTGGATGCGATTGCAGTCTGGAGAAAGCTGGAGAAGAAGGAGTTGGAGAAGATGAATCCAGCAATCACCAGCACTCCATGGAGTGGGCTTAGGAGGTCTCACTTCTAGTGACAGCCTAAATCACTCTACTTTCTTTCCCCAGAGATCTGTTTCTTCCTTTTAACCTGTGTTGTCTGTGCGCCCCCCCCCCCGCTCCCCTGCCCATGAATTTATCATCTGCCTAAGGAAGTAAACACACTTTGTTTCACAGGAGAGTCTTTCCGAAAAACCTCAGCTGTTGGGAGGGATGGGCCAGTCTCAGCTGAAAACATTTTCTTAAACATTCTCAAATTTTCAAGCCTACAAACACACACACACACACACACACTCAATGACATGGGGATACTGGACACAATAACAACCCAAATTGATTTGATTGGGAAATGATGTGCGATTAGAACCCAGCACACAGGAGGCTCTCACGCCACATCTCTTTCTTTCTGCTGTGCCATATGGGGGCGTGATGCTGGTTTGTTTCCTTAGGAAGATGAAATGGTCTCCAGAGCAATTTTCTCACTGCTGTGAATTTTAGGCGGTTAAATAATTTTTCAGTGAAGAGCTCAAAAGCTAAGTTCTAGGTCAGTCTCCCTGAGACGGTAGGTTCCAATGCAGGGATTGTGCTGCTTCCCATTTCATTCATCTCCTCTCTGTCAGATCACCTATTTTTGTATGAGAAGCAACTTGTTTCCTTCAGTCCTTTATCTAGGTTGTGTGGGTTTGACTGAACAGCAAAAAAAGTTCCCTCAGGAATGAAAAAACAAACCATGCCAGACAATAGGTTGGATGACCTGGTTATAGTGTGTCCACTGGGTGAAGACTGCAGGGAGAAACACAAAAGAGAGAAACTCATGGTTGATCGCCACCCTCCTAGACTTTTGCAGTCCAGTTAAGTGGGGTATGACAAGCATAGGAAGAAAGGAAAAAAAAAAAAAGAGTGTGGGGGGGGAAAATCTATAAATTCCCATAGGACTGTAGACCAGTGTTTCATATCTTTTAAAATCCAAGCCTATTTTTGATAAATATTACAATTTCATGCTGTCCTTTGTTGTTTGAAATTTTGTAATAAAAAAGCCAGAACAGGGATCCCTGGGTGGCGCAGCGGTTTGGCGCCTGCCTTTGGCCCAGGGCGCGATCCTGGGGACCCGGGATCGAATCCCACGTCGGGCTCCCGGTGCATGGAGCCTGCTTCTCCCTCCACCTGTGTCTCTGCCTCTCTCTCTCTCTCTGTGACTATCATAAGTAAATAAAAAAAAAATAAAAAAGCCAGAACAATTAGAATACAAACTATAGTGTTTTCAAGCTACACTTAGCCTCCTTCACCATGGGGGGTTCTGAAATGCCCAGCAGTCCCGCACTCTCCGCCACTCCGGGGTAACCCGTGCCCTCAGATACTGAATGATCTGGGGGATGCAGTTTTCAGAGACTTAGCAGTCTAAAACTTTAGCGGTAGAGCCGAGCTGTCTCTGGGCTTGACAAAGAAATAGGATATATTTATCTGAGTAGCAAGAGGAGGAGATTTTGAGACATAGAATTTGAATCTGCAGGAAGAGGGGAAGCACACTGATCCTGGCACAGACAGGGGGTCTGGGGTGTGGGGAGCAGAGGAGGGAATGTCATAAACCCAGAAACTCAACACAAAGACAACCTCTGGACAGGTGCGTCTTGGTTGAAATTCTGGCCCTGCCTTTCACCAGCTGTGGTACCTTCTTAACATAGGCATCTTACCTCCAAAGTTTCATTTCCTCATCTGTCTAGTGGGGATGATGTGCGCCTCTCAGACTTGTGCTATGTAGAGGAGGTAAAGAACGTCTAGCTTAGCACAGCACCTGGGGTGGAGTGTACAGTGAGTAATAGTCCTTCAACAGATGTTAGCTCATCAGAGAACACTCAGTTGACCAACCGTCCCAGGTTTGGGCCCGAGAGGCGGGAAGCTATTGGGGATGCCTTGGAAATAACTCTGGCACCTTTGGGCCTGCTTTCTGTCCACTTGGCACGTGCAACTGAAGCCATCCTCAGTGGCTGCAGGCCTTTGGGAGTTTGGGATGGGGTGGAGACTGGAAATTCGTGGGGGACTCAACAGCTGACCCAGTTCAATGCTTTTGAGGCTCTACTGAAAGAGGAACTTGACGAGCTGGACAAAAGGGAGCGGTGGGCAGAGGGATGGCTACGAGCTCAGCTTTCTGATCAGGCCCTAGCCCTGGAAGGCGTTTGCACTTTTGTGGGGATTGCCTAGGGACTCAGGCAGCCGCATAGGAAGAGTCTACTGAATCAAGAGCATAGGTCCATTTTTGGCTATTTGCATCCCATGATGTCTGTGTCTGCAAAAAACGCTCTGGGCGAGGAAAACAGAAGTGCTCCTCTGAACAATAGCTTCAGCATTTCCAGGTTAGGGCAAGAGGCCCCCGAGGGTGCTTTTATGCATCTTTCCTATTTCCAGCTGATTCCAAGCAAGGTCTGAACCGTTCAACAATCTTACTTCTTTGGCCCTAGAAACACAGGCCTGAGGCAGCTGCAGGCGATTTGCAGATTTGCAAACGACAGGGGGCTTAAGGTCAAAAACCCTGCAACCTACTGGCTTTGTGACCTTGGGCATGTCATTTTACCTCTCTGGGGCTCCTTGACACAGAGAGGCCAGGGGACCATGAGGTATCATAAAGAAGACAGGAGAGCTGCCAGTTTTTAGGCCTGGCCTCATCCCAGGCATATGAAAATCATCACCCTCTGATTCTGTCTCATGGGTCCCATAAATGTCAAATTTGATGGGCTTTTTCTTAGTGAGACCCAAAATGGCATTTTTGGAGTTGACCCAACCTAGCAAAGTGAGGAAAAGTCAGCCACAAGCCTTGTCACTTTCCTCTTCTGACTGCCTGAAGAATGTGGGCTCCCAAGGCCAGGGTGGTGGACTCCCCATCGCCTCCCAGGGGCTGGGG